ACAAGTGAGAAAGATGGTCAGAGGGCAGCCCCAAATTCACATTCTCTGAGCTTAGCAACTCCAGAAGGAGCTGCTTTCTGCCACTCACAAGGCCATGCTGCAACTATGTTAATGAAAACGAAAGCCAAAGATTGACCTACTCTGGGTCTTGTATCTAACTGTAGGAGGAAATAGAATGGGAAAGTGTGCTACTCTGGCAGTGTAGTTCACTGTTAGATAATTAGGTTGCTTTTCAAATTCTCTTTATACTATTATTTTTATAGATACAGAGTCTTACTGTGTCAACCAGGCTAGAGTGTGGTGGTACATTCAGGGCCCACTGCAGCCTCCACCTCTCAGGCTCAAATGATCTTCCAGCCTCAGCCTACTGAGTAGCTGGGATTACCACTACACCTGGCTATATTTAATTTTTTTTTTTTTTTTTTTGAGACAGTGTCTTTCATTCTGTTGCCAGGCTGGAGTGCAGTGGCGCGATTTTGGCTCACTTGCAACCTCCGCCTTCCGGCTTCAAGCCTCCTTGCCTTAGTCTCCCGAGTAGGTGGGACTACAGGTTTGCACCGCCACCATCATGCTCAGCTAATTTTTGTATTTTTAGTAGAGACAGGGTTTCACCATGTTGGCCAGGATGGTCTCGATCTCTTGAGCTCGTGATCCGGCTGCCTCGGCCTCCCAAAGTGTTGGGATTACAGGCGTGAGCCACCTTGTCTGGCCTCAAAATTTTTTAATAGTATTGGGGTCACCCTATGTTGCCCCAGGCTGGTTTTGAATTCCTGGCTTCCAGTTATTCTCCCACCTTAGCTTCCCAAAGTGTTGGGATTACAGGTGTGAGCCACTGCACCCAGTTTAGACTTAAGTAACTTTGAAAAAGAGAAAGTGAAATGTAGAGGCTTGTAGAACTAGAAAATGGAATATGCTCAAAAGCTTATAGTATTTGTTAGCGAGTAATTACTTCTTAAAAGGTTTGGGGTACCTTAATATGAGAGTTAATGCTTTAGGTTTATTATTTTGTACGAAGTAATATTTTTTGTCACTATAAAATATACTATAGGATGTCTGGAAAATACAGAGATGTGAAAGGAAACTACCTCTTGTTCTGCTATCCAGAGACAATTACACTGTGGTGAATTTCCTCTGTATATGATCTTGCATAGTTATGACCTTATTATGATGTTAATTTTTTCTTTGTTTTGATCAGTATTTATAACTTTCTGTTGGGGTAATGAAAGCATAATCTTAGTCAATATATTTGGTTCCACCAAGGTTGTATGTTGATAATTGTTAACTCTTGTTTTTCATTTAACTCTACAAGTTAAAGGATGTGTTTTCATTTTAAGTTTCTTGGCATATAACAACATCATCAAATAATTTTCCTTGTTAATTTAATTGTTCACTTGATGGGCAAAAATGGTATTTTATGTTATTAATTACTAATAAGTTTGAGCATTTTTTGTTGAGCTAGCTAGTTACTGTTATTTTTTGTGAGTTCCAAGTTTTTTATCCACTTGTCTATTAGCATCTTAGTAGTTTTCTTACTGATTTGTATTTTTTTTTTTTGAGGTGGGGTCTCACTATGTTGCCCAGGCTGGAGAGCAGTGATAAGATCATGGCTCACTGCAGCCTCAACCTCCTGGTCTCAAGTGATCCTCCTGCCTTAGCCTCCCAAGAAGCTTGGGAACACAGGCGTGTGCTACCATGCCCAGCTAATTTTTTGATTTTTTTAATAGAAATGAGATCTTGCTGTGTTGCCCAGGCTGGTCTCAAACTCCTGAGCTCAAGTGATCCTCTTACTTCCCAAAGTACTGGGATTACAGGTGCAAACCACTGTGCCTGGCCATTTTCTTATTTTTAAGTTTAGAAATTCTCTGCTTTTAGAGATCTGATAACTTTTCTATTGTTGCTATTTGTTTTACTTTGTTTTGCTGATTAATTTCGAAACATGATGTAAAGTTATTTATTCTTTCTGTGATTGTTTTGAATTTTTATATAGGCTCTGTCCTCCTCCTTTTTTTTTTTTTTTTTTGGTGAGACAGAGTCTTTCTGTGTTGCCCAGTCTGGAGTGTGCAATGGCACTATCCTGGCTCAATGCAACCTCTGCCTCCTGGATTCAAGCAATTCTCCTGCCTCAGCCTCCCGAGTAGCTGAGATTACAGGCGTACCACCACGCCCGGCTAATCTTTTGTATTTTTAGTAGAGACGGAGTTTCACCGTGTTAGCCAGGATGGTCTCGTGACCTTGTGATCCGCTTGCCTCAGCCTCCCACCGCTCCCCGGCCTGGCTGTCATTCTTAAAATATTTTCAAGCTAGGAATCCACCAGATCGGTGACTGCGGCGGTGCTAAAGTGATCCCTGGCCGCCGCCACCATGGGCCGCGAGTTTGGGAATCTGACGCGGATGTGGCATGTGATCTCCTACAGCTTGTCACCTTTTAGAGCAGCGCGCCTTCCCTCATGTCTTCTCTAAAGGAATTCCCAACATGCTGCGCCGCACTTGGGAGTCTTTCCTTCCTATGGTGCGGGCATTTGTAGTGTTTTTTCTTATCTGCAATGCGGGAACTCAAGAGTTTGAGAGATCCCAGAGGAAGAATCCAGCTGCCTATGAAAATGACAAATGAGCAATGCATCCAAATGACAGTTCCTGTCTCTGAAAGACCTTTCTCTGGAAGAGGAGTCTGCATTGTCTCTCTTTTTTTTTTTTTTTTGGAAAGGAGAGAAGGAAAGAAAAGTAGTGGAGAGGAAGAAAGGAAGAAAAAGAGGGAGAAAGAACTGGAATGTTGCTTTATTCTAAAAATGGGTATTAATAATGGCCGATCAATATTTCATTTAAACCTCTGAGTAGGTGTGATGTGGTATTGACAAGAATATATATTTTGTGTATTTGAAGTGGAGAGCTCTATAAATATTTATTAAGTTTACTTGTGCCGGATCTGAGTTCAAGTCCTGGATATCCTTATTAATTTTCTTTCTCGTTGAGTCTAAGTCTCTTTATAGGTCTTATGTATCTGGGTGTTAGGATCATTAGCTCTTATTGTTGCATTGATCCTTTTACCATTATATCTTTGTTGCTTTAAAATCTATTTTGTCAGATGCGAGAATTGCAACTCCTGCTTTTTATTTATTTATTTATTTATTTTTGCTCTCTATTTAGTTGGTTAATCTTTCTCCATCCCTTTGTTTTGAGTCTTTGTGTATCTTTGCATGTGAAATGGATCTGGATGTAGCATACTGTTGGGTTTTGGCTGTATCTTTTGATTGGGAGATTTAGTCAATTTAAATTTAGGATTACTGCCATTTGATGTTAACCGGCTGTTGTATCCATTCGTTAATGTAAATTCTTTTTTATGTTGATGCTCTTTACTTTTTGGTATATTTTTAGAAAGGCTAATACTGGTTATTCCTTTCTATGTGTAATGCTTCTTTCAGAGGCTCTTGTAAAGCAGGCCTGGTGGTAATAAAATCTCTGAGTACTTGCTTGTTCGCAAAGGATTTTATTTTTCCTTCACTTATGAAGCTTAGTTTGGCCGGATATGAAATTCTGGGCTGAAAGTTCTGTTCTTTAAGGATGTTGAATATTGGCCCCCACTCTCTTCTGGCTTGTAGGGTTTCTGCTGAGAGATCTGCTGTGAGTCTGTTGGGCTTCCCTTTGTGGTATCCTGACCTTTCTCTCTGGCTGCCCTTAGTATTTTCTCCTTCGTTTCAACCCTGGTGAATCTTAACAATTATGTGCCTTGGGGTTGCTCTTCTTGAGGAATATCTTTGTGGTGTTCTCTGTATTACCTGGGGTTGAATATTGTCCTGCTTTGCTAGGTTGGGAAAGTTTTCCTGAATAATATCCTGAAGAGTATTTTCCAGCTTGGTTTCATTCTCTCTGTCGCATTCAGGTATACGTATCAAACGTAAATTAGGTCTTTTCACATAGTTCCATATTTCTTGGAGTCTTTGCTCATTCCTTTTTATCCTTTTTTCTCTATTTTTGTCTTCTTGTTTTATCTCATTAAGTTGATCTTCAACCTCTGATATCCTTTCTTCTGCTTGTTCGAGTGTTAAAACCTGTGCATACTTCTCAGAGTTCCCGGACTGTATTCTTCAGTTCCTTTAATTCACTTATATTCCTCTCTAAATTGTCTATTCTCATTAGGATTTCATCAAACCTTTTTTCAAAGTTCTTAGTTTCTTTATGTTGGGCTACAACATGTTCTTTTAACTCACAGAATTTCTTATTATCCACCTTCTGAAGCCTGATTCTGTTAATGGAATGCACTTGTTCTCCATCAAGCCTTGTTCCCTTGTTGGTGAGGAACTGTGATCCTCTGTAGAGGGAGAGGCATTCTGATTTTGAGTATTCTCAGCCTTTTTACGCTGGTTTTTTTCCCATTGTTGTAAGTTTATCCACCTGTCGTCTTTGTAATTACCAGCTTTCAAATTAGGTCTCTGCGTGGACGTCCAACTTGTTAATTCCTAGGGCCGAAATCTGAGCAACCCACTGCGCCGGCCAAAACAGTGGCATTAAGACTGATGGTGCTTTTCTGCCCAGGAATCTCCGGTCTGGCTTCCTTCTTGAGTCCTTAATAGGCGACGCTGCCTTCCCGGAGCTCCAAACGTTGGTGTGAAGGGGAACCAGTCCCGTTGACTCTGCACCAAGAGCTGCTGTGCCAAGGCGCCAGCAAAACCGCTGCGCCGGCCACAAGAGTCGTGCTGGCGACCCGTGGGGCTCCTCCACTGGGGATCTTCTGGTCCGTGAGCGACAAAAATTTGTCTGAAAGTGTGGCGTCCTCTCGTTCTCTGCGCTTTCACTGTCACTGGGAGCTACAATCCCGAGATGTTAACGATCAGCCATCTTGGATTGTTCCCTGCATTGTCTCTTAAAGACACAATAAACTTCCCGTGGTCTGCAAAAAATAAATAAATAAACAAACGCATGCGCACACACACATATAATATTTGAAGAAGCTATTCAAAGAAAAATGCCATCTTAAGCTTACTTTTAGTTATTTCTGTAGGCTAATGGTTTTTAACTCCTTGTGAGATTTAAGGACAATGAGAGATGACAAAAAACTTTAGTGACAATGTTTTAGCAATCACCTCCCGAAGTGGTGGGATTACAGGCGTGAGCCACCGCGCCAAGTCTGGCTCTGGCTCTGTCATTCTTAAAATATTTTCAAGCTAGGAGTCTGCCAGATCGGTGACTGCGGAGGGCTGTGACCCCTGGCCGCCGCCACCTTGAGCTACGAGTTTGGGAATCTGACGCGGATGTGGCATGTGACCTCCTACAGCTTGTCACCTTTCAGAGCAGTGAGCTTTCCCACACGTCCTCTGTAAAGGAATCCGCAACGTGCTGCGCCGCAGTCGGGAGTCTTTCCTTCACGTGGTGATGCCGTTTGTAGTTTTTTATCTTACCTGCACATGGGGGACTCATGAGTTTGAGAGATCCCAGAGGAAGAATCCAGCTGCCTATGAAAATGACATATGAGCATCACATCCAAATGACGGTTCCTGTTTCCAAAAGACCTTTATCTGGAAGAGGAGTCTGCATTGTCTCTTAAAGACACAATACACTTCCTATGATTCGCAAAAAGGAAAAAAAAAAAAAAAAAAAAATATATATATATATATATATATATATATAATGTATTGTGTATTCAAAGAAGAAGCTATTCAAAGAAAAATGCCATCTTAAGCTTCTTTTTAGTTATTTCTGTAGACTAATGGTTTTTAATTCCTTGTGAGATTTAAGGACAATGAAAGATGACAAAAAAACTTCAGTGACAACATATTTTAGCAATGGCAAAATAAGCTCTTTTCTGACAAGTCTAAACTCTTATCAGTTAAAAGCCTAGACAACCTTTGTGATTAGCCTTCTGTGAGTACAGTGAAAGCATTATATTTTCTGTAGGTAGCATTTATTCATGAAGAAAATTATGATAGAAATCAGTTTAAACAGAAAATTCTAGACTCTTCAGACAGCTTAGGCTTTTGAAAAAGCCTTGTGCTTTGGCAGGAGCCCAGGAGAGGAAGTGTCTACATCTGCTACATTCTAGAAGCCTTTTCCAAATCACTGTAACATAGCCAAAAGAGCAGTGTATTTCATTACTGTGTGGTTTTGGAAGTATCTGGAAGTCTGCCGCAAACTCAAGGGAGGAGACTAAGGAGTACTTCCAGTTTTTGTGGTGATCTATTTTGATTGAGATTCAAGTTAGGGGGACAGCGGGGTTATTTTTTCACTCTTGTGGAATGGGAAGCTTTCAGTTTGAACTTGAGCCTTTTGCTTTAGCTCAAGTCACATAGGAAGAGTCAGAAGGGGCCGGCACAAAGAGAAACAGGTTGACAAGTCAGGGTAACCAATGAGATCCTGTTACTGAGGCAAACTATACTGTAATGGTAACTTTTTCTCCTATAAAATAAATAGACAAAGTCCATGTTTGTAGTGGAGAAGGAGCAAGAGAAGAGTGCTACCAGGGCATCTGGGTAATTGAGGTAAAGCCTTTCTGTTGGTTGGTTTATATCCTTCCTCATCTACCATGAAGAATCCTAACTAGAAAAGACAGTGCTACCATGGATATAGAGCACAAAGACAAAAGGGTTTTGCTGCCAGGTTTAAAAAAAGAGGCCACAGACATGTCTTGGCTAAGTTTTTTTCTTTTTGTTTTACATAGAATACAGTTGGTAAGTGACACAAAACCAAACTCTGGGTCCTTTGAGAGAAAATACTAGTTTAAATGGACAAGGGGATATTTATTCATTTTGGATTCTCTACAACTTGGAAAAACAAAACAAAACAGGCGCAGCATTGCAGACCTGTATTTCCTACTTAGGAGGCCAAGGTGGGAGGATTGAGTCCAGGAGTTTGAGTTCAACTTGGGCAACATAGCAAGACCCCTGTCTCTTAAAAAATAAAACCAAACCAAGAGAACAGTGTCATTGCAATATAATTCATATACAATATAAGTCACCCATTTAGTATTCATGATTCAATAATTTTTAGTGCTTTCACAGAGTCATTCTACCATCAGTCACCACAGTAAATTTTATTTCATTTATTTTTTTAGAGATGGGGTCTTGCTATATTGCCCAAGCTGGCTTTGAACTCCTGGGTTCAAGTGATCCTCCTGCCTTGGCCTCCCAAGTAGCTGGAACTCCAGGCACCTGCCAGTTAATTTTAGATTTTTTTTTTTTGTCCCCAAATCTGCAACTTTTAGTTTATTTTAAAAAGTTATATAGGAAAAAGATGGGCCAGGCACAGTGGCTCATGCCTGTTTTCCCAAAACTTTGGGAGGCTGAGGCAGGCGGATCACCTGAGGTCAGGAGTTTGAGACTGTCTCAAAACAAAAACATATATATAATTTCATATATATACACATATATAAAAATATGTGACACATTAGGAATTTTAAGGATTAATCAGAAAGCTCTGAAATCTTTTTCCTTTAAAATGTATTTTAACATTTTGAAAATGTGTTCATAATATTTAAATTGATAAGTTGGTATATTTTTATGGGAAATTGGTGGGAAAGGTCTAAATCACAGAGAAAACTTGTTTTTCAGGCTATATGAAAAAGCCATATGCTATTTAATTATTCTAATTGTAATAGTAAGGAGAACAAATTTAGCTTGAATTTTTAAGCATAAATCATCAGGTGATAACAAACACATATTTTTCTCTAGTATGAAATATCAGACTGGGTGCAGTGGCTTACACTTGTAATCCCAGTGCTTTGGGAGGCTGAGGCGGGTGGATCACTTGAGGCCAGGAGTTTGAGACCAGCCTGGCCAAAATAGCAAAACCTCGTCTCTACTAAAAAGACAAAAAGTTAGCCAGTTATGGTAGCACACACCTTTGGTCCCACTACTTGGAAGGCTGAGGCATGAGAATTGCTTGAACCCAGGAGGTGGAGGTGGCAGTGAGCCAAGATTGTGCCACTGCACTCCAGGCTGGGCAACAGAGAAAGACTGTCTCTTTTAAAAAAAGAAAAAAACCCACAAAAAAGAAATGTCATGGTAATACTCTAATTATATGAAAAACAAGATAGTAGCTATTATTAAATTATTAAATGGATGGGTACTGTGACTCACGCCTGTAATCCCAGCTCTTTGGGAGGCTGAGGCAGGTAGATCACAAAGTCAGAAGTTTAAGACCAATATGGTGAAACCCTGTCTCTACTAAAAATACAAAAATTAGCCAGGCATGATGGCATGTACCTTTAGTTCCAGCTACTCAGGAGGCTGAGGCATGAGAATCCCTTGGATCTGGGAGACAGAGGTTGCAGTGAGTGAAGCTTGCACCACAGGACTCCAGCCTGGGCAACAGAGAGATACTGTTTCAAAAAGAAAAAAACCCACAAAAAAGAAATGTCATGGTAGTACTCTATTATGAAAAAGAATATAGTGGCTATTATTAACTTATTAAATGGACAGGTGCAGTGGCTTACGCCTGTAATCCCAGCACTTTGGGAGGCCGAGGTGGGTGGATCACAAGGTCAGGAGTTCGAGACCAGCCTGGCCAATATGGTGAAATCACGTCTCTCCTGAAAATACAAAAATTAGCCAGGCATAGTGGCATGTGACTTTAGTCCCAGCTACTTGGGAGGCTGTGGCAGAAGAATCACTTGAACCTGAGAGACAGAGGTTGCAGTGAGCCAGAATCGCACTGTTGCACTCCAGCCTGGGCAATAAGAGTGAGACTTCATATCAAAAAAAAATTACTAAACAATTGATAATAATTAACATCAATTCTATGGGCAACCTGGGAATCTTTTACTTTTTCATAGAAAGAATAGATAAGGATCTTTTCCTGCCCTTTGCATTTTTTAAGTAATGACTGCATTTCTTTTTCTTTTCTTTTTTTTTTTTTTTTTTTTTGGGCATTTCTCTTTTTCTGTTGCAGGTGTGTGATCCTGTAAAATTAAGTCTTCCAAGATGATCTGGTGTATATTAATTGTAGGAATTCTGCTTCCCCAGTCTTTGGCTCATCCAGGCTTTTTTACTTCAATTGGTAAGTCTTCCTATTTGTTGGTTTGTGTTGGTTTTGCATTTTTTAATTTCCATTTTTTAGTGTTTTAAAATCAGCAAAAACAAATACAATGTATTCCCAGAGTATAGGTTTCCTCCCTGCCTCTCTAAAAGGTCCTTTTTAAATCATTTTATTAAAAAATTTTTTTTATTACAAAAATGATACATATTCAGGGTAGAAACTTACAGAAATTTAGAAATGCATGTCAAAGGAAGTTACCCATTAATGAGTCTATTAAGCAAATAATGCATATACTTAGTCTTTTTCAGTGCACACACAAGTAATATACTGTATATATATCTAGTTTGCTTTTTCCATTTAAGATTCTACTGTGAACTAAAGGGTTTTTTTGTATCATAGTTAAAAAAAAAGAAGCTTATTATTATTATTTTTAATAGAGGGTCTCACCATGTTGCCCAGGCTGGTCTTCAACTCCTGGCCTCAAGGGACTCTCCTGCCTCGGCCTCCCAGAGTGCTGGGATTACAACAGGCATGAGCCGCAATGCCTGGCCCATAAGTATTACATATTTATGACTCTTGATTCCAGTATATAAAATGATGGCTTCTTGCATCCTATTATAAATAACAGATTATTTGAAACTTCTTTAAATGTGGCTTTTGCTTATTAAATAAAAATTTAATTCTAATTAGTCTCAAAAACAAACGTAAAGGGGAGGTGGTGAAGAAACAATCCTTGGAAAAGTAGTGTTGATTTGCAATTTAAAAATACATTTGTATTTTTACATGATAAAGACAATTTGCCAGCACAGTGTAAAACTTGCAAAATTAAATGGCTTGAAAATTAGAACTGGAACACTTGATTAGAAAAGTTTTTGACTTTATTTTGGTTTATCTGGTGAGAAAAAGATCGTCTTCAGCATAGCTGATTGATGCCAGTTAAATTGTCTCAGAGTATGAAACAGTCTCAGTCATTCTTATTCCTAACATACTTGTGTTGAAGGATAAGAGTATTCGATAACCTTCTTCCCCTTCTAGGTCAGATGACTGATTTGATCCATACTGAGAAAGATCTGGTGACTTCTCTGAAAGATTATATTAAAGCAGAAGAGGACAAGTTAGAACAAATAAAAAAGTAAGCAAAATATTTACTTATTATGACTCTGACTCAACCTGGATGTTTTCTTTCTCGAGCTAAAATATTCTTTAAGTAGAAATGAAACCCATTTTTCAGTCTTACAAAGCCAGTTGAAATGGCTAAAACAGGTGTATAGAGAACAAGTTAGGGAAGAACATGGGTTGAGATAAGAATATGGCTAGATATTGGCCAGGTACAGTGGCTCATGCCTGTAATCCCAGCACTCTGGGAGGCCGAGGCGGGTGGATCACTTGAGGCCAGTTGTTCGAGACCAGCCTGGCCAACATGGTGAAACCCTGTCTCTACTAAAAATATAAAATTAGCCGGGTATGGTAGCACATGCCTGTAATTCCAGCTGCATGGGAGGCTGAGGAAGGAGGATTGCTTAAACCGAGGAGGTGGAGGCTGTAGTGAGCCAGGATCACACCACTGTACTCCAGCCCGGGCGACAGAGCAAGACT